ATGTGGGAGATTCTAATTCTCGCAGTATCTCTCAGTGGAAGACTCCCTGAGTAGAGGATATAAATGGGTTTTGCTGGGTTTCCGGATACATATTATCAACATGTTCTTGAATCTTAATATGTGGAAAGTTTGATATGTAAGAGTAGGACAGAGCTGGGAGAAAAGCAGTGTAGTATTACAGGGAATTAATATTCAGGATGGACTGACTTTAATGGGGTCATATAAGACTGCCTGTCTTCATATAGGGGTGCAGAAACTATTGTACAGCACAGCTGTGTGCACCATTCAGAACTGAGGTAACAAATGGGATGAAACTGAAAAAAGCAAATAGCACGCATAATTGCAGTTCAAATGCAAGAATTTAATTTGAATTGAAATAAATTCATACAACTATCATTGTTAACTAGAAAAGTGTATCAAGACACTTGAAATTTTGTCTAGACAAAACGATCGATAGAACAATCAATTGAAAGATAGATGATAACACTCTGACTGAGCGCTTCAGAGTTTCACTCTCCGTCAAGCGTTCTGTGATATTTTTCAGTTCATTTGAATGGATGCGCAGCGCACCTGTGTTTGTGTATTTGGCGTGACGTAAACTCTATTTTGAAGGCGCATGACTCCCTGTCGCTTTCTCTCACACGCGCAAAGAGCGAGAGTCTTGCATAACATGCAGAATTGATGCGCTTCATGTAAATGATATATTTTGTGATCTGTGATATTTTTCAGTTCATTTGAATGGATGCGCAGCGCACCTGTGTTTGTGTATTTGGCGTAGCGTAAACTCTAGTGTGAAGGTGCACAACTCGCCGTCGCTTTCTCTCACACGCGCAAAGAGCGAGAGTCTTGCATAACATGCAGAATTGATGCGCTTCATGTAAACGATATACTTATGTATTTTCCTGTAAAATTAACAGAGTTCCTTTGGAATTCTTCAGCTTTTAAGAACTGCCGGGTTTTCCTGTAGTAGGTGGAACTAATGCGCAAACGACAATCTCATTGGCTGGTGCTCACCTACTATCGTCCCTGTTTTGATTTCAGCGAATCAGTTCGAGCAAACGCATACAACCTGATTAACATTGTAGCATTTGGACCAATCAGACACACTTTTTTTTGTTATATTTAACAAATAATATCGAACTCCCCATCACCTA